GGTGAAAAGAAACTTCGGCTGTTAACTATGTCCAAAACACTACTGATATCAATGAGTTAAACTAATAACAACAGGAAGTGAAATGCACTGAATTCACGATATTTCGAATGAATGAAAGTTACACTGAATTCATGATATCCTGAAATGACATTCAAACGTTTTAAGTTTAAGTCAGTGTTAAAGCGTTGAATGACGACAACAACAAATTGATTAGAATTACTCAAATGATACAACAGAATAACTTACTGGACAAGCTCCGTGACACATGTGGATGTCACACTCCAAGTACAGAGCAAGGCTTCCTGTAAACCTGAAAGCTTTCAAGTAGGCAAACAACGTCACGTCTTGTCCACTGTTTCCGGTAATGTGCCCACGAAACGTGGTGATTAGTTTTTTATTGGTCACACATCTACAAATAATTATAGAGAGAAAGCAGTTGAAATATTTAGCATTCAATTAGGTTCGTTTCGTTGGAAATAAAAACTTAAAATAAAGAAAAAAAAATGTGCAACCACAAAACTAAGTTCCAATCTGATTATTATTGTGATACTTTTTCTACTTTGTTGTAAAAGTGTTTGAACATAAACTGTTTGACAGTTCCACTTGAGTGAAATTCACATAAGCATTAAAACTGCCATAACAAAAGTTAAAATTTAGATTTTACATTAAATTAACTTTATCTGTGGAGAAGTGAGTTTGTGTGTATACTTACTTTATTCTTAGAAGTTACTAAAATGGTTTATCTACAAATTATATTCTATTGTTCTACTCAGTTTCCGAATATAGATTAATATCACCTTAAATACATTCAACTTTATCCAAATAAGTTAAATTAGAGCTCATTCAAGGTATCAACACATTCAAGTAAAAATTAACCCTCACCCGTTGGAGTCAATCAACTGAAGACGTTTCTGCGCACCATTGTGGGCTATGCAGTTACTAACAAGGATATCAAACCCTTCTAAGTAAGAGAGAAAAAAAGAGAGAATAGATATGAATTAAAATATAGTAACTTAAAACTGGAATTAGGCATTTATCGATAATGACAGAGTAATATAAACATGGCATTAAACATTCTTTTCAGCCTATATTATATTGATTACTTATTAAACCTTGTCTTTGTTAATGCTATTGCAATTAAAGCAGTTATTGTGCTCATCAGTTGTTTCATGTTTGATAATTTGAACATGATATCTAACACACTAGACTGACAAATTAAGTACCTCAATGATAAGCTTTTAGAAGGAAGAAAAACTTAAAACTGAATTATTATTTGTATTCAAATTTGTATGTATTCGAATCCAAATGTTGATAACTTTTTCAAAAAAAAAAACAAAGTTAGGATATGTCAATCTTCAAGTTTACGTACCAAATATGATGTTTACTTAAATAATGTTTAATTACAAATACTATAATTATTCTTAAATAATTTACCAAGAGTATCTAAGTTAATTCAAATATATAAAGTTATAAAGTAACACTAAGAAGGTAACGCCAAGTAAAATATTAACATTTTTTAATGCTTGATACCTTCATTAAAGAAAAGGAAAAAATATCTGAACAATATTTATGAATCTTAATGAGAAAGAAACGAAGAAAACTGTTTACTGCCAAACAAATGGGGTATGGAATTCCTTAAAAGTTTGCTTATCCAAAGTACATAGTGATACATCTTAAAAGACATTTTAAATAGGTGGTAAAACGACGAATATTTATTTCGTTTGTCAAGTGAAAAGCATAAGTGGTGGAACTATCTCACGACGTAAACACAAGAAAAGCTGAAAGTACTTAGGAAAACTTTTCTGCTCCGTCCCACCTAGCTGACAGAGCTTAAGTCAGTTTTCGTTGTTAACGATTTGATGTGTTCAGCCTCTTTGGACGGAAAATAAATTACTTCTTTCTGTGTGAAAGTAATGAAGGTTAGTTACTTCACTGCAACATAAGCATTAAGCTTAAGACCAAAAGGTCGTCGTTGCGTGGCAACATAAAACGCTTGATTGCTGTCAATGTCTGCATTAGACATTAGGGTAGCAGTTTAGTAGAACGTTGTACTCCGGTTAGCGTCCTTCAAGGTGAACGGTCTGGTTACTGACATTACTCTTTTATGGGTTGAAAGGAAAAACGGGCTACATATAAATGTTGCCACGTGGTCTCGTACGAGCATTCACGTAAAACCCTAGTCTTTTTTTTTTAAACTAAAAATAAAAAGGTATGGATGTACTTGGGATAATTGACACTTATTCATTATGGAGGTCACGGAGAGAAACAAAGCGATAAAAGTATTCGTCTTTGTTGTTGCTAAGATACGTTATTTTTCAAGTACTCGTATCAGTTGTGAATAATCATAAACATGTATGCAGTTATTGAACGCGTATCGTATACCCAATAAAGTACCCTAACTATGAATTAATACAAGTTAAAATGATCACAAAGCAGCATTTAAGTACCAGCGAACGAATAGAATAAAAACCTCATAAGTATTCACAAATGTTATTATTTTTTATTAGGTGTTTACAGTCAGACAGACAAGCATACACGGATAATTTAAATAATTAATTATTAAGAATCAAATCAGTTTCTTCTCGTGTCATATTTACAACCTTAGTTTTGGAAGTTCGTTTAGCTTAGCAACTTTTAAAACACACCTTAAAATCATAAAAGGTTGCTGTTACACCTTAAAAACATAAAAGGTTTCCTTGCTGTTACACCTTAAAAATATAAAAGGTTCCCTTGCTGTTCAGGAGAAGCTCCTGAAATGAAGTTATTCCTTTCAATATCTTAGAATGCTAAAAATTACTGGTATTATTTTATAGTTAACATAATTTAAAAACCGAATGTTCACTAGAAAACATTAAAGGGAAGAGTTATATAAATAGATGAATTTCGTTTATGTTTGCGACTGTAGACTATTTAGAATACAAGATTATATACTCAAAACTCGGAACTTCGCACACATTTACTTTGTTGGATCGGTGTTGTTTTGTTTGTGTAGTTTCGAGAGAAATCTTAGATTCAGATGCCTCCTGAGTCCAAAACCGTAATTAGATCTCAAATCGGTCAAGAGCTGACGGAGCTATGAGCTAAAAGTTTGTACTTGAAAAAACTCGGAGTCATTCTATGAGCCGCTATGCCGCGGCTAAAAATCATATAGAATAGGTAAATTAAATAAGAAATGTAATATCTCACGACACCATAAAAAAGTGCTATTTATTCTGGTCTATTAATATTTCAGGAATTATACTGAAGTGCTATATACTCTGGTCTATCAGTGTGTGAGGGGTTTATACCTTAGTTATATATTTACTGACTTATTAATATGTCATGTTTTATAATGAAGTGTTACGTACTCTAGTTTATCAGTATGTTAGAATTTATATTTTCATTTAGATACTATTTACATTGTCCTATCAGAATAACAAAATATCTTATTTCATTTTTTTTTTGCTATATGCACTGGCCTTAAATTCTTTAGTTGAACTGGTGATGACAGAGAATATGATAGCGATTACAGAAAAAAAATATTCTACAGAATTAGTAAGTTTTGGTTTCGTTCTCGTGTGGTAATGTGTTATGGATTATGCAGCGTACAGGCGGTTAGATTTTTGTTGAACAACCAAAGGTTTAAAGAAAATAGCAAAATAGGTGTGGATGCCCAAAGCGAAATGAAATGATGGACAAAACACAAATTTATTTATTGTATGACAACACTACTCAATACACATGACAACGGAGGACTTTGCACGCTGATTGGACTTATATGATAAACAAGAGCCCATTTGTACGTGAAAAAAGGAGGGGGGAGCTTTCTCCAATGACTCACACAATCACATCCACAAGAATTCTACAATCAGACAGAGTAATCTCCTATGAAGAATATGTTATTTTTCCGAAGCTGGACACAATCAGACACAGTAACCTCCTTAGACGACCATATCAATTCGCCATCGCTGGATATATTGAAGTAACACTATATTTTGTTGGCCTTGTAATAAACATAAGAAAGCTTTCAAGAAGTCGGTCACAGGTGTTCTAGTTCTTATTTCTATACTCTGAACTAGGACATAACACAGATTTTGAATACGTGGGTCTACATATATTGCTTTAGTGAAACCAATATTAGAAACATAATATTTATTTAATTTCGTATTTGAATTTAATTAAAATTTTATCAGCGTCACAATTAAACTTATCAGTAGAAATAAGAATCATGGTCCTGAATTAATAATTTTTGTATTTCCAATATTTATTTCGCTTACTCCCATCATTCTTCTCAAAAATAAAATTATTTTGTGGTTATTTGGGTTATTCACAAACTCACAATTATAATTAATTAATCGTATTATAATTGTGAAGTAGTAACCAACGAACGTTGTATTACATAATGCCGAACTTACATTTTGTTACATATTTAATGTAATAAAATATAAATTTGGCATTATGTACAACAACGTTTGTTGGTTATTAATACTTAGCTTGGAACTGATAAACTAGAAAGAAAGCAGCCAACTCATAGGATGCTCTAATTGAATAGTGGGATTTGACTGTCACTCTTATAACGTATCTATGGGGTAAAATTGCGGGTCACGATTTAGCGACAATGGAACTCTCGGATTATTAGGTCGGTGCTGTACCACTAGGCCACACACTCTGCCCATAAGAAGATGAAGATAAAAAAATCAAACAATCTCTTGAAGCGAAGGAGGGGAATAAGTAATGGAGATAAATCAGAACAATATAAGGTATTTTAGACTCGTGAGGGTGAAAAGATATAAGGTAGTGTTTCAGTGTGTGTTTATTTGTGTTTTTTTATAGCAAAACTACATCGGGCTATCTGCTGTGTCCACCTAGGGGAATCGAACCCTTGATTTCAGTCGGGGGACTAGTATTTCAGACTCAGTAGGGTGAAAATATATAAGGTATTTTTCAGATTCGTAAGAGTAATGTGAACTAAGAGCTAAATGTTCTATTGTTCTCATGTAGCTTTTGTGTTTCGCGCACAGCACTCTAATGAGTACATGTGGAACACCATTACTGTTCAGTATAACTCTGTCATCGAAGAAGAATGGGATGAAAATTTCCGAGTTACGTGTGAATATGGCTATGATTTTCGAAAAACGGTTACATTTCCTTTGGCGAACGTCGAGTAAGTATAAAATAAAATAAAAAACATTATATTTCTTTATTCATGGCCATCAAGAAAATGTGGAAAGTAATTAGGAAAATATTTGTACTAGATTAATTTACTTTTTAATGTTTCTTGTGGTTAGGTAATCAATATATTCTATAATAATCGAACGATGAAACTTTTTCTAAGATTAATCTTTTTCAAGGATTATGTCGCTATAGTTAATCTTTTTTAAAGCTAGAAATTCATTTCGTCGTATACGACTGAACGTTAATTTACTCTCCTCATCTTTGTAGTAACATGGTTACAGCGAATATGTTCTTCACAACATGGTTACTTCAGCTGTATATTTTACATCCCCATGTTAATTCTTTCCAGAGTAGTTGTGTTGTTCTTATCATATCAGTGAAAACATAGCAAACTTATTCTTCCCTCAAGCTACCCAAACGTCTACATTTACATTGTTGGTTGGATCCAAAAACCAGTAGAACGGCTACATCAGTGCAAGTTAATTTATTACATGGTTGAAACTGTTAATTTTTATAACACGAATGTCACGTTTCCTAAAAAATATACCTTGATCTTTTCGTTTATTAAATGCTTTGTGTTTTGTTTTACCTGTTATTTTCAGGGTGAATACGGGAAACCCCGTTGTGTTCACTCTAACTCCACCTGAGTGTTATATGGAGATCAAGGAAGGCTTTAATGTCAGAGGTCATCAGATAGATGGACCAGTCAGTGTGGGAGATCCATTGACTCTGATAATCCAAATGAAGAGTGAAAACAGTTAGGTTTCGTAATGTTAACCTTAAACACACACTAACAATATTTGGTGACAGAGTTATCTAGCACCATCTGTAAGATTTTCCTCTTTTATCTGAAAATAGGATTTTAAAATTGGGAAGATAGCTTTGATTTCTTCTACTACTACTTTAACAAAAAGTACTAGGCCTAAATCATGTGTAAAAGCTTATTTTAATTTACCTACCAGGGTAAATGCAATCTTTGTTTTTACTACATTTCACTTAATGTTGTTCTTATGGGTGTAAAGATAAAAAAAAGTAAGCTTTATAAAAATCTGAAGTGCAATTTATGAAAGTGATCAAATGAAAAGCTGTACTGGGTAAGCCTAAGTCATTTTTATCATGGTTATCTTTGCAATGTCCCTCCCGTGTTTGAAATAGTTTAAAAACTAGGAATAAAAATGCACAGATTGTTTATACATGCAAGTGGACATATTAACAGGTCGTTAATAAACTCCCAAAACATGAATCATCTTTAAAAATGTTCATATTTTGGGAAACAGGCTTGCTTTTTCTGGTGACAACGAAAGACGAGTTTCCCTTATCACAAGATGCACTGTTTAATAACTGATAGGGTAATCAAGAAAAATATCACCTGGTTCTTGTATATTTTGAACATTTTTTGGAGGAAATTCAAATTCCTTATATGAAAACAAGAAAATATATAGTGATGAAACTCGCTCTCAGATACAAATAATAGGTTAACAAATATAATTAGAAACGCTAATCTGTTTTAATTAAATGCTTTAACAGTTTTCTGCTCTGCCCGGAGCTTAAAATATATCATAACATAATTTCATGAAAACACGCTTAAATTAAAATATGTAATCTAAGCTTGTGATAAAAGTTTACAACGCTTTATTTTCATGCGACATATATCATAACATAATTTCATGAAAACACGCTTAAATTAAAATATGTAATCAAAGCTTGTGATAAAAGTTTACAACGCTTTATTTTCATGCGACCATAAAATGATATATTTAAAAAGCTATTAATATTTATTTTGATCACTTTGATATCTAGCTGACTTTAATATTGTTGGTTCTTATTGATAAAAAAAATAATTCACCATTCTGTGATTTTGTATAGAGTATATGCATTTTTTAATTGTTCAGTGAAGTTTCTGATCAACTTTCAATTTACATCGCTCAATAAAGAGAAATAAACTCATCGTGAAAACTCAGATCTGACCATTCCACTCATCTCATTGCTCAATTAGGTTAAACGATTATTACCATTAGAATTTACTAAACACTTGTTACCTGTAGTTACAACCAGTGAGCACTAATAATAAAAAAGCTCAATAGCCGCGGCAATTAAAATTATTTTAGGCAGGATTAGAGTAAATTAATCTATGAGAGCTTGAGCATGATCAAATACATCAATCGAAAGAGTTTGAAAAGTACATATACTGGTGTATTGATAATCCAGTCATTAAAGTATGAATTCTGCCGTATTGATTACCCAGAGTATATAGCAATAAATTATAATTTTTCTTGCGTACTGATAAGCAAGGGTATATAATATTAAATTATTAATCTTGACCTATTGGTAAGCCAGAGTGTATATATATATCACTCAAGTACATAAAAACAAGCCAGTGTATATAGCATTAAAGTATATATAATGGCGCATTGATTAGCACTCAAGTGTAAATCCTGACGTATTGATAAACCAGTGTATGTTGATAATACTTAAGTATAAATCCAGAGGTACTGATTATCCAGAATATACAGTACTAAAGTATAAATCTTGACTTATTAATAAGCTAGAGTATATACCACTAAAGTATAAATCTTGTTGTATATATTAGCCAGAATATATACCACTAAAGTATAAATACTGATTTATTAATAAGCTAGAG